CCTACATATTAAAATAGAGGGGGGAGTGGGGATGGGAAGCTGTGCTTGAGGCATAAACTTTCAGCTATGTTCTGTTGAAATAAAACTTGGGAAATGTAAAATCTTGGGGCAGGCACTCTGTCTTTCATACAGTGCCCAACAGAAGTCTGAGCCAAAGTCTGATAGGGCTTTCTGGACACTGAAACTTTTTATTTTATTTTTTTACTTTATTACAATACTTAAAAAAGGGGGAGGTGTTAAAGCTGCAAGTGCCAGCCATGAGAAGCTAGGAAATACTATTTTTAAGATTGTCTGTGCAGCCCATGTATTTCTTTTCTTCATAAGAGTTATGACAGTCTTTAATTACATGATCACATTTTCTTTTGTCATCCTCCCTCCCTGATTGCGGCAGTGCACGGTGTGAATATTTGGTGGTAATTAATCAAACTGGAGTAGTGAATAAGTCTTAGCAGAACTCTCCCTCTGACTCTAGCCTATATATGTCAGTCTCAGGTCTCCCCGTCCCTCCTTTTCCTACCCTTCTAATTAACCCGTTTCTGTTCCTCCTCGCTCTGCGTTCACATCGGACCCTTTTTTGTCTCCGTGCTGCCTGGTATCTGTGAAGAATTTTGGAGGCAAAAGGGAGGGTCTGTTTGCGCCCTACCATAGTGTTAAAGATGGAGCAGCTGGGAAGGAAAGACAGTCTTAGGGGAAAATCTTGCGAGCTGTTTCTTCCCGCAATTGGAGCGCGTTCAGAGCAGAGGCAGGAGTTCAGACGATGGAGCTGCTGAACGCTCCACTGACTGTGCTCAAATGGGAGTTATCAGATGTTTATAATGGTATAAAATCCATGAGGAATTTTAACAAATTTCCGGTCGTTTCCCCACTCCCCTCTCTTGCTTTTCAAAGTGGCTGTGATTTTTTGTTAAGCGATAATCGCGCTTCTCTCAGAAATGAGCAGAAATGTATGTGCCGGAACCCATTTTCTACTCTTTTTTCCTCACCGGATTTATACTGTACACGTGTGAGGAGGGACGTGGACCCTCAGGGGCAGGGAACCAGCTCGGTCAGGCCACACGGAGCGCTGCTGTGGCTTGGGGCTGCGTAACTGTTTGGGCGCAGGGGTCGGCGCCGGGGGCCGCGGTCCCCTCCGCTCCCTGCCACGGTGGCACTAGCCGAGCGGGGCGTCGGGCCGGCGTCTGGCTCCTCTCTCGGGCTCCGCCTAGCGG